TTTGTTCATGACTTTATATGGAAAAAGAGATATGGTTGTAAATTAAAGTGTGTGTTGAATGGGAAGCATCATGTAATCTTATGTGGGGAAAAGAAGTCATGATGAATTTTCTCTTGCCCCTGTATGAAAATCTGGTGACATCAACTTGGGTGAGTTCAGGAGCTGCACTAATTTGTCATTTCATCATAATGCTCAAAAGGCAGCAAGTAGGAAACAGGGACTGTAATTTTAGATGTTGTCACTCATTTCAGCCCAGCTGACCAGAAACAAACTTTCCCACACTATAGGCCAGGATATATTTTCAACCACAGTGGTTTTTGTAGACCCCTTCAAAAAACATAGCAATAAGAAACCCTTTACAGGTTCTTTGAGCAATAGTAGTATAATTTTTTTTTCAGTTATGGGGAATTTTGTTCAAAGGGCTGCCTGTGTGAAAAAAGGACATTACTTGCTGTTGCAGAATTACTGTTGGAAAAATACTGGAAGGGAACATTCAGAAGTGGTAGAGTCTGGACCAGAGGGCTTCCTGTGGCCCCTGTAATCCTAATTTTTGTGTATATATTAACATATGAATGAAACTGGAAATCTAAATTAGTGCAAGAGATTGACATCAGTTTTTGCTCTTTTTCAACTTGTCTAAACAGTCACATTTGTGTCAGTCTATCAATTTGATGTTGCTTTCTCCAATGAAAGATAGGTCAAGTTTGGACATCTTTCAGCAACACTGGGGACTTTTGTCCAAACAGATGCTGGCCAAACAGGTTAGCTGTAAATAACAAGTTGAAGTGCACTGTGTTCAGTCACTGAGTGATGGAGTTACTCATATTTATAATTATATATATGTGCACTGCTACACAGACATTTATTCAGTTGATACTTGCTTAGAAATGTGGTATTATAACTACAGGACTTTTTGAAATTATCCTTATAGTTTGGCAGCTATGATAATATGATGCAATAATTGACCATATTACATTCTTTAGAATGTTGCACAGATTTTACTTTAAATCATAATATTATAAATAACTCTGCTTATAGAACTTTGACAAATTTTATGAGGACAGAAAGAGAACTTTTTAACTTCATCTTGGTAAATAAGAACTCATTTCCTAAATATTTTGCTCTTGGATTCATTCACATATAGGTTGAGGGGGGGTATGTGTCAAAATTCTCAAATTATTTTAGATAATTCAAAAAAACCCCTCATCTAATGGTTAGCACCCATCTGATTTGGGGAAAATGCTTCGTTGACCTCACATCTGAAACTTGATTTGATATGAGGAAGGCACCCCAGCTGGGTACTCTGGTAGAGTAAGAGCAACAGCATCTCAGTCTGACATCCTCTACCAGCTCCAGCCGTGTTCAGTTGTCAGTGCTCTAAGGAAAGCAAAGCAAAAAACAGAAGCCAAATTATACATCAAAAGGGAAACAGTATTTTCTCCTGCACTGCAGGCAACCAGCAGACCACCTCAGAATGGGATTCATATACTGTGTCAGAGAGAAACAGTCAACAAACAGTCCTTTCAGTCCATACCACCCTGTATCTACAACCATCTGTGTAGCCAAGAACTCATATTACAAATTTATTTTTAATACCAGGTTTATTCTGATTTCAGGCATAGAGTCCTTTCCAGAAATGGTACTAAACTTGTAGATAATCCTTGCATTTTTTAACCAAGTCATATATATACAGAAATAATTGCTCCTCCCTTTGAGATTTTGTACATTAATTGAGTGATGCATTACTAAGCCTAAGTAGAAACTGAGCTGAGCTGAAGACTTGAAAGTTTTTGTTTTGTTTTGTTGGGGTTTTTTGGGTTTTTTTTTTTTGGTTGGTTGGTTGGTTGATTTGGTTTTTTGGGTTTTGGGTGCTTTTTGGCGGTTTTTGTTGGTTTTTTTTCTTTCTGGTAGGAAGAAAGGAAAGGCTGATGACTTGAGAATTTTGATTCTGGGGGAAAGCAGTCCCAAAAGAGAAGATCTCATATAGGCAAGCTTAAGCCACATTAGGAGTGCTGAAATGCTCTAGACAACTCTTTTTCCCCCATCCTGATCAAGTAACACATCATCACTGTGCATGTGTGGGAAGGGGAAGCCCTTTACTTAGTATTAATATATTTGAAGCTTGTGGTGTCCAAATTCTACTTGTCCAAATTGGAGCATAAAAATGTAGGAATATTTTCTATTAAATATATCTCCACTGAGATAAAATAAAAATATTCTATAATTTATAAAGGCTGAATTTAAAATATTAAAAAAAGAGTTTCTGGGTAAATCAGGGTTACAAAGAGTTGCTATAAATATGGGATACTATTATTAAGAAATAGTTATGAAGTGATGCTCTGGCATTCTTAAATTAGTTATGCTTATTCTTGTTTAGAGAACCAGCAGGAGTTTTGTGATCAGCTAAAGGACTGGTGCAGCACAGATCAAATAATACATATTATAGTCTGTATTCAGGAGATCCAAATTTGTGACCAAAGTGCTTAAATTGTCTATGATTTCATTTTTCTGAAAAAGTAATGGTGATGAAATAACAGTACTTCTGTAGTAGTAATGGTGTTAGAAATATTAGAAGTATTTAGCAGTGGTGATAATGTTGTTGTTCATGTCCATGTAGAACAAATGGGTAGAAAAAAGGAGTGATCTGTGGTGCTGGAGGTTTCATATTCTGTGCTGAGCAGCCCTCTATGAATGATGATTCTGATGATGTAATTCAGTAATTCATAGCACAATACAGATCTAGATTCAGTTATAGTGTGAATTTGGCTGGATAATGTGTACCTTTACTGGAGTACAGTTTTACTTTTCAGTCTAATTTTGTCTGTTTGCTTTCAGCTTTGCATAATTAATTAAAAAGTCTGGTGAATGCAAGAGAAAGAGCAAGTCCAACTGTCGGTTGAAATGAGCTATCAAATTAATGCCATATGACAATGACAGTTTTGTAAATCATCCTTTGACCTGATTTGCCTCTGAAGGAGTTTATGCCTAAATACTTATTCTAATACAGGCAGATACTGACCATTTTTATCAAGCCCACAAGCAATTTATCCTCAAGTCTTATTGTAAAAAACTATTTGAAATTAATGGGAAGTTTTACTCAATAAAGGAGTCCAGTTTTGGCTGCCAAGCCAGCCAGTTCCAGAATCAAATTTTTACTCTTAGTGTAATATTCCCTCTACCACTGCTATCAGTAGTGTTAATGATAGCCACTAATTACCTTATATATTATTAGGACTAAGGAATATTTGTAATCATTCTTCACAAGTAGAAGCTTGAGGTCATGATCAACCAGCATACTGCAATGAAAGTACATGAACTCATGGGCAAAAATTTTCATTTAAGAGCAAAAGAGTTCCATTTTTCCATGTTTCAGAATACTTTTTTTCTAGTAAAGGAAAACATCTTTTAATTAAGCAGAAGGAATATCATCATAAAATCATTACATTTTTTTATGGAAGCTAAAAAAATACACTGTATAATTAAAAATAACATATGATCACTAATGAAAAGTCATTGTCTGTCCCTAATGCCAGACTTCTTGCTTGACAAGAGAGAGAAATCTGGAATGTTAAAAGAAACTGTTTATTAAAAAATATTAAATTATACTAGAAGTTTCACTTTCATACATTATATGATTTTATAATCCTACCAAAGAAAATAAAAAAATGTGCTAATGCCTTTTTTCAGTCTTTATGGTGAAACTAAGAAACAGGAATGGTTTGGCAGATATTTTAGATTGTTTGCTTTAATTTTGGGGTTTGAGCTTGTTTTTAACTGAGAACTATAATGAATAAGAAACAGTTGTTTCTCTGTGTCTTTTCCTGGAGGATCCCTTTGTCTCAAGAGGACTAGAAAGGAATCTTTCACAAAGATTTTCTCTCAGTTGTGGTATTGCTGATGTCAAGCATGCAAAAATTGTGAGTCAGCACTCCAAAAGTCACGAGACTGCATTGAAAAAAAAAAAAGGCAATCTTTTAAAATACGTGGCACTCTTGTTTGAGCCTTTATAGCAAATTTATGGCACATTCTTATACTTTTTCTGCAAATTGAAATCTTATTTTTCAAAACAAAAGAAGAAAAAAGAAGAAACAGCTGAGTTTTCTCAAAAAACTGTAAGATGCCCAGAAATGGGCTTCTGAAGAAGGTCTAAAGCATTACAAACTTTGCAACGTAATTGCAGGTGTTGGAAACATGGCAATTATTTGTGAGAACTTTGATCTAAATTGAAGTCAATAAAAACAAATGAAAAAAACCAACTGAAAGAAAAGCAGAGAAAACTTCCTTTGCGTTTCAGAAGCTCAGGCTGCTGTAGTACCATTTGTTCTGCAGTCCTTCCACACAAATTCAGGAGAATAGACCTCATTTCTTTAAGGTTAAATAAGAAGATGTATAAACATCTGATTGCCAGACAGAAGATACAGTCAGATAATGACAAATAACACTTTGATTCTGGCAAAAAAGGAATAGGCAAAGTAGTGCAGATGCTGTTATTACAAAGATATAAGACCTTTACCACAGTTTAAAAGACAAAGACTATTTGAATCTAACAACATGGTTTCTGGCCAGAAAAAGCTCCAATTATTTTTAAAAATGTCACCTCATTCACATTCAATGATCACAGAAAATGGAAACATTTTAAGCAGTAATTGTAAACATCTGCTAAAGAAAAAAAAATGAAAACATGACTAAGACAGAAATGAGCTGCCAACATAAAGTATTGTGTGAACAAATCCACGGGAAAAACACCAGATCTGTGGATGGGTTCTGTGTGCACTGTGAAAAAATTGATGATTATAAAAAAGATTAGAACCCACCTAAAAACGTTTTATTCTAAGTCAGTCTGGCCGTCTACGCAAATATCAAGGAATGTGGCTACACTTGCATTTCTGCAGCAGCTTTGGCCCCTGCTGCTTTTCCTGCCCTGTTCCAAGAGAAGCGTTTGCACAGGCACAGGGAATTGGACTCAAACTGATCTTACAATTTTTTTCTTTCTTTTTCAGCTGGATCAGTTAAGAAAAAATCAATGGTGGTACAGATGGTGATGACAGCTCATACAGAAATGCTGCTAGATTTCTAACCATTGCCTTGAAACACTGATTTCAGACTGCAGGGCTGTAATGACAACATAAATGAAGGTAAATCAGATCCTTCTGGTTTTTAGAAAGCGCTCCCCAAATCTGAGGCCAAGAAACAAGTGGAAGGCATCTACAGATTTGCATCTCAGCACAGCATTTAAATGTATTGAGCAACTTGCAGGATCCAGGACTGCTTTGTAAGATTGTTGACTCCAGCATGGAGTAACAGAATGACTGAGTTAATACAGAAGAGAAAGTAAAGGTGTGAATCTCCCAGTTTTCCAGGTATATCTGTGCTAGTTAAAGATATTTCCATGAACAACTCATATCTTGTATTGTAGAGATATAATGCCCCATGTCCTCTGGCCCAAGTAATCATGCACATTTTCTAAAATACAGCAGGCAGCCTGGGTTGGCTCGGGTCGTCTTTTCTCAATGCCAAACATCACATCTAGAAGCAGCTGTTCTGATTGAAAATGTTTTATCACCATCCTTTGGTAGAAACTTGCAACTGGCTGACCAGTTCATTTGAACTATTCCTGATCTATCCCCTTCTGTAATTGAGGAAAATCAGCCAGATCATGTGCAGCTGGGGGCAGACAGGCTGTGCTTGGGCTAAAAGGTTACTGAGCACAGGTGGCTTGCACTGCCTTCCCATGCTGCTGCTGCTTTCCCTGTCCACTCTCTGGTCCAACAGCTGATACTTAGTTATTTTTTTTCCCCTCCTTGTTTTTTTGACATAGGAATGTCTGCCCTTCTTCTGCTTCAGCACAGGGGGCAAGACTGGTGAAAAAAAATTTGCTGGCAAGGTAGGTGTGATTCTTTGCTTGAGTAGCAATAACAATTGGAGTAAAAGGCAAACCATCAATTTTTTTAAAAAACAGGTCCACAATCTTTAGAGTTGATCAGAACTGAGAATGTGAATAAGGACTTCTGGGAAATGGAAATTTCAGAAGAAGAATCTTAGAGACTTTGCTGATTAGCTCTCTAAAAAAACCCTCTGAAATGACAAGAACAAAGTAGTTTGATGCCTGTGACTTGTTCTAACTCATACTCAGGCTAAATTACAGGAGATTGGAACCCTGAAGGAAGACCATTTGTGGATGGTGGGTGGTATTTAATATTATGTTTATCGTGTACTCTTAAATATCAAAATATGTATGTAGGTGGTGTTTCTGGAGGTTCTTCCTGCTTGATAGCTAGAGATTAGGTATTGGAGGAATGAGGACTCAATGCAAGTTGCCTGTGCTCTGCAAGTAGAGCGTAAAGACCAGTTTCCTTAAACTCCTGAGCAATCTAAGCCAAATGCTCATGAAAAGCATCTTTCTAAGGAATTTTCTTGGAATATGGCACATGATTTCAGAAGATCTATGATAGAAGTCTTTTTAAGATCTTAAAATGTATAAAATATTAAATGTGTACTTTCAAACTGCATTTTTTTTGGTAGTTTGGTAATGGAGAATTGGCTGCTGGTTTTAGCCTGTGGCCAGGAAGACAATAAAAGCAGTTATGTAATAAATCAGAAAAGAACGAGCTTTTGACATCTCACAATGAACTGCTAGTATTTTTTGAGAAAGTTATTTCATTCTTTTTTATCTAGGTTGAAGAACTCAAAATGAGACCTCTCTCCCAGCTCTGGAATTCCCATTGATAGTAGTTGATTCTGCATAAAGGATACAGGTAAAAATAACATTTTTGTTTACCTTTAAGGAAATTAGAAATTCCAGAAGTGCTGTGAGACTAGAAAATCTTTTTAAAATAGGATTATCATCCTGAATACTTGTAAACAATAGGAAAAAAAATGGAGTTCAAACCTACCACTGTAATTAAGTACCACCCCTCCAGGGTCACAGTGTGCTGCCTTCAGTAAAGCCATAGGTCACAAGCCATGGGTTCCATGGTGCATTCAGCCTGGCTTTAGGCTCCTATGACTGGATCAAAATGGTTCAATGAAATGATATAATGTATTGAATTGGTCTAAAGTCATCCTGTTGGTTCAAAATGGGTTTTAAAAAAATTTTGGCCTTTTACTTGAAGGCTTTACATGAAACCAACTTTCCAACATCTTATTTTTATCCTGTTTAAATATTGTTCATCATTTTAATTACAGAATGAAAACCATAGAGCTATCCAAAAAAAAGCCATGTACAGTACGATTTTGCTGGTTTCATTGCCACTGTAAGCCTATGACTAAGAATTAGTGATCATACTAATGAGGAATTATTGGTCATGACAGACCTGTTGTTAAGTCATGGAATCACAGCTGTCTAAAGGTATAAGTCTTTGTTTTTCTGCTGAGTCAATTTATGCCAGTCTAAAATTTGGTCCACTGCTCTGTTTCCTCCTGATATATTTGATTATAATACATAAAATACTAGAAACTAGAAAAGGAAGGTTGATATTCTCCCATGATCTGTGTTTTGTGAGTATAGCATTTCTCAAACATGATTACAAGCTTTCTTCCCAACTTACAAATATTTGCATTGCAGAAGCAAATTTAAAGAAAAATGACTAGTTAAATACAAGTTGAATTTGTTGGTGCTATTATGTGTTTCTCCATTGTCTCTCCACTTTGAGCTCTGCTCTTATCAGATGGAAACCAGAAGAATGTTGGTTTTAATTGCTGATTGTAAATGTGACAACCTGTACTTTCTGTGGCGGTGTTTGTTAGCTTTAGGGAACAGAGATGTTAGAGGGCAAAATAAGTTACTTCTATTCCTTCATGGACTTCAGTGGGAGTCCCAGATGCCGCCTGAGGGTACAACCTTTTTATTTTTAAATCATTAAATTTATCTGTCTTTTATGAGCCAGCTACTTTTGTAAAACTAAAGTTAATCTGGGATAACTGTGTACATCAGCAGTGGTGTTCAGATGTACACTAGCCCAACTAATGTGGAATTGTGCCTGCTGGACAGAGTTGTTGCTAGTGCATTGCCACCTTTTAGACACAGTTTAGGAATTCAGCTCAGTGCAGATAGTAAACTGAGTTCATATGCAGACATGTTGCTGAAAATAATACAAAATTAATGAGATGGAATTTTTTTTATTCAGGGCCATGATGCACCTTTTTTCCAGTAGAAGGGGAACAAAACTGGAATATAACTGAAGAGTCAGAAGAATATTGGTCTTTGTTACTGGCTTAAAAAGTTTGGAAGTAGGAAAAGTGACACCAGTATACAACCCTTTTATTTCCAGCACTGCAACATAATTCATATCTGAAGATACAGACTTTGGTTTTCTTTTTCCTGTCTTGGTTCATTTGTGTTGGACTGCAAAACTAATTAATTCAAGCAAAGGCACTAGTGTGCCTTCCAGCTCCCCAGTGACTACCACAGCATCTCCTTTATCCTAATGGAATCTTCTGCCAGTCTCAATGGGCAGTTTTAATTCCTGTGAGGACAAGGGTTTGGGTGGGATTTTCTAGCCTGAGCTCTTTACAGCAGTGCAAAGATCCTGCAAGTGGACATAACATCACCACAACAGTGAATATGGGTCTGTAAGTCAGCACTAGGCTATGTGTGGCACCTCAGCATCTTCCCAAGGGTTCTCCTGAGAACGTGGAGCTCCCAGTGTTCCTCTAATGTTCCTCTTGTTCCTATTCAGCCTTAGCATACACGTGACATTTGGTATCAATGGCATGAACATATCACTCTGGTTTTGTTTTAGAAAAACTAGAGAAAGCAAAATGACATTTCACAAACAAAGCTGCCATCCAGCTGCATAAAGACTCAGAAAGAGTCCTTAGATTAGTTTAGGAATGAGACTAAGACTAGGCTTTTTCTCTTTATCCTGATGGTGCAGAGTTGTTTGCTTGGGGTTTAGTTTTGGTTTGGTTTGGTTCGCTTGTTGTTGTTCGGTTATTTAACAGTTACCTTTAAGGGGAAATAATTATAAAAGGCCTACATGTTTACTTTTAAACACAGCATTTTTTCCACTCTGCCCCAATGACATTTTAATGACCTGCTTTGCCTTGGTTTTTACTGGCAGTGTATATTGAAGGAGTATTTTATGTACAGTTTTAACATTTGAACAACGCAGGTCCGTGTTCTGTTACTCTTTTATGTTGTGGAAAATGTCTTTTAAGTTTTTATTTCTTTTAATTGCTTACTAATTTGAAGGCATTTTTGCAAATATCTTTAGAAACTTTTAGATTAATTATTAGTAAGGGTTATTAATTTAAGAAGAGCAAGCAAAGTAAAGGCTGCATATATTTTCACTCAAATTACTATCCTAAATGACTCCATGGGGGGTTTCTTATAGGGGTCACTGAAAGGCAGAAAGGAATGTTTTTACTTCTTTGCTTTGTCACAAAAATTAGGTTACAAGGGCTATAAATGCAGGTAATACTTTTTATTACTAGATTTTCCTCTGTAATGAATATAACATTTCTTCTTTTCATATAATGATACCCACTGAATGTCTTAGTACTTAGCATGTTTACTCTTACCTTTAACAAGGTCTAAAGTAATTCCCCTTTAAAAGGCTTGCAAGCAAATTTGAAAGCAAAAAAGAAAACCTGTATGGCAGGATCCCTGCTGGAAGTGGAAGATTGGAGTGGGACACTGTCTTGCATGGTGCCAACAAGCTCATCAATAACACCAACCCTTGAGTAGGTGAGGTGGTGAGAAGTGAAAACTAAATCTGGAGTAGTCAAAAGTCTGAGCAAGAAAGACCAGAAAATTTTGCAACGTAAAACACAAAACTGGTCACATGTTTTCCTGCTGTAAAACAAATTGGTCTGTGCCAGCCTACCAGAAACTACATTAACATGACTCTCTAGTTCCAAAAGGGACTTGGTCTCAGTATTGCTTTGAGAGTTGTCCACACAGCTAAACTGGGGTGAGCAGCTCCCCCTCGGCGAGGCCGTGCCCTGTCCCCGCGGGTGCGATGCTGGTTCCATGTTTCTGGGCTCAGGGCACTCTCTCCAGGGGACTGCACCTCCTCTCCAGCCCTGCTCTTCAAGAGGGCATTAATATTCTCTGAAAGGCAGCCACTCATCTGCAGCTCTGTAAGGCAGATCTACTTTGATCTCAGCCTCAGAAACAGAATGATGGGGGATAAGAGTTCAAAGTATAAGAAGAAACTCAACATGCAAAGAATGTACTACATCTTAATAAGTAAAGAGAATTCCCTCCACTTGTTGCTATTGTAAGGAAAAAATAGTTTAATATCTTTATGGGATTAGGACTCCACGGTACTTTGCTAATGAGTGGCCAGAGCTATTAAGATTTTCCCTATGTCTCCAGATAGGCTGGCAAACAAACAGCAATAAACAATGGCAAGTCTGAGGCTGGCTATTAAGAGTTTGATCTGGTGAGTATTTTATTAATGTGGCTAACATGTTGAGTTATTTTGTTTGTAGGTGCAGTAGAGTAAATTTATAACATAGAATTTCAATCTTTTCCTTACGAGCAACCTGAGGATTAAGGAAATTACCAGTAATGAATGGCGGCTTTCTAACAAAGTTTATCACAAATGACCCTGGATTGTGAAGTGTTCTCTATTCAGGCAGCTGTAGATGGACAGGAGATTCAGAAAATTACCAGAGAGGACAAAATTCCTTGGGTTTTACTGGTTTGCTCAGAACCGTGCAGATATCATTCACATGAACACTTAACCTGCATAGCAATGACAAATACCAGCAAATTTAGCTTTCATAAGTGTATTTGAGAAAGATTAGCACACACCATTCAGTTCAAGTTTTAGTTTTTAGGTTAGCTGCCTTTCACATTAATCAGCTTTGTTTTTTTCAGAGCTGCCTTTTCTGTGTAAAAGCAGTGGGTGAATGCCATGTTTAATAACCCCTTACATCCACTAATTCTTTTTTCCAGCAATTGTGTGGTTTCCAAAAAAAAAAATTAAATTTGTATAATTAGAAGAAGAAATGTAGAAATGAATGTTGTTTGTCCTTAAAGTGGTGGAGAAGCTTTATGTTCTGAGGAATCGCAAAGCCTTTCGGGACAATTTATTGTTCCTCAAAGTTCTTTCTATTTATTTTTCCAAGTCCTATAAGTATGGCAGGATTTAAGGTCAGCACAAGGTACTTCTTCACTTGATTAGCTCAGATGCTAATTGTCACAGTGAAGTACAGCATGCAAAGGAGAGTGAGATATTTCACATGCAAGTTCTGGTTTTCTGAGTGTGATGGCAGGAGTTACTAGCAAGGATTTTCATCAGGTCGGTGTTGAAACCTTCTTTCCTTATTCACTTCTCATGACTGATAAACAGCCATCTGTCTCTAGCATCAATCTGACTGCCTAGAAACAGGTTACTAAATTCTCTTCCCTACAGACAGTGATTTCATTTTCCTTTTGGAAAATGTTTGAAAGTATCAGTCTTGTACAATAGAGGCCAAGCATGAAAAACTTGTCAGTCAAGAGAATGTCACCCCATAAATGTCCCTAACAGCTTTTTCCTCTTTTCTGATTCAAAAGGAGAGTAGCTTTAATTAATTTATTGGTTGGCATCTGTTTAACAGGCATTTGTGTGATGGGTTTCTGAACACACCTGGTCTATTTTTTAGTGTAACCTCCAAAAGGATTCTGATCTTATTTTTAGCTTTAACCTTATAAAAATGTAACAGCACAAAGAATTCTTACAGTGACTAAACTCTTTTTTTTTTTTTTTTTTAATTTAAATCCCAGTTTCAAAGGAATTTAGCTATGACCTGGATTTTAATTT